TTACCCGAATTTTTTCTTATTTTTAATTTAACCGCGAGACGCTCGACGATTAAACCTGACTTCTTGTACAGTCCGGAAAAACGTTTTCAAGATTTAATACAATTAGCCGCTTTACGAATTAGAAAAATAGGCTAGACTAAGTAGTGAACTCAACCGCGTTCGTTCACTTAAATAGGTCGTGTTATCCCCGGTAGTTACCATCTTCCGGTTACCTCTTATGAATTAAACACAACAACAATTACGGATTGCAGGTCTAATTCAGATGTAGATATGAAAAGCCTAATCTAGGTGATCAATCTAAACAAGACTAACACATCATGGTGAATTATTCAAAATAACACAAGCAATTCCAAAAAGATAACTCAATAATCAACCACGAAAATTAATCAAACATCATCAAGTCGTAAGGTTCGACATCACCGGAACTAGAAATAAAAATCTAGCCTAACATAATAAATAAAAAAGAAAAAATAAATAAAGGAGAGAGATTAATTATCTCCCTCGTGTGCGGGTGCGGTCTCCCTCCGCAATTGCTGAGTTCTCCCGTTCGTCCTCTGTCTTGCGTAAAAATAAAATTCCCTGCTCTCTTGCGGCTCTCCCTTTCTGTGCGTGAAATCTGGCTCTCCCCGGAACTAGAAATAAAGATCTACTCTAACATACTAATAAAAATAAATAATAAAGGAGAAAAGAGAGAGAATAAAATTCTCCCTAACATAATAAAAAAAAATAATAAAAGAGAAAGATAATAAAAAAGAAAAGAGAGAGAATAAAATTCTCCCTCGTGTGCGGGTGCGGCTTCCCTCCGCAATTCGTCGGGCTCCTCGTATCTGTCCGTTATCTTTTTCTCCTCGCCTCTCGCAGTATAATGTCGGCTGCTTTCTACTTTGCTCTCGTAAAATAATATATCCCCTCCTCTGTTATGCGTATCAAATATATATAATGGCTGCGCAACTAAATCCTTTTCCTCCTAGGTATGTGTGAGTCTCCAATTCTCAATATATGTTCTTTTCCACCAATTAATTTCTCTCTTATGGTTGCTGCGTGAATGTGCCCAGACTTGTCCTCCAATTAATTGTCATTTGGGCCCACCAAATAATAACACTTAACAATGGGGCCATTAAGCACAATTAGCACACATGGGCCTAAATTGGGCTGATATGGGGCACTGCTAGGTCAGTACGGGGCACCCCCGTACTGTCTGCTTCAACCTTCCTTCGACGTCTCGTCGTCCATAAAAACACTCCAATATCCTAAAAATAAAACATAAATATATCATAGCACTTGAATCCATCTAATAAATAAATAGGTCGAAAAACATATAAGTGCGATAAAACAAAGCATATAAAAATATGCTAATAAATATATAAAATGCACACTCTTTCCGACCAATCACCATTAGACTTATAAGGTGGGTCTATTTTCCATGTATGAACGATGTGAGACAACTCACAAGTGATATTCTAACACGCCCCCTCACTTGTAAGTCATTCGGAAGCCCAAGCCCAACTGGGTTGGGTGACGTACGTCACCGCATGGTCACCATTAGTACCGGCTCTGATGCCATGTAAGAAACTGGGGGAAAACGGGTGAAGTCTCACTCACATGAAGCGCACCATAAGCGGGAAAAACCCATATGAAGCCCAAGTGGGGTTCCATCCCAAAACCAATTGGTGAAAGGAGGAGTAACCCATTAAACTTATAAGGTGTGTCTATTTTCCATGTATGAACGATGTGGGACAACTCATAAGTAATATTCTAACATTCTTTCTTTTTAAAATTTTGCCATATAATTTTAATCAGTCTTGAAAGCTATCATCCCATGACATTTTTTTTCTTTAGCTTCGTCATTGCTCTTATCTCCTTTTTTTTTAAAAAAATGTAAATACTACTACAAACTCGATTTCATACATGACTCGTATACGCCGATAATGAACAACAATGTTACATTATTCGTACAATATCATCAACATATTTCAGTTTCAGGCGCAGCCGGACTGGACAACTCCTCGTATAGCCGTCACAACTTCTTTCAACGTCAAGTTGAACTCTTTCTCCATCTATACGTTAACCAAAAAATAATTATTTGAATATTGTACAACTAAAAATAAATATATAAACAAACTTATAAATATAGTATTAATTACCTCGGCAACAATGGTGATGTTGAGGGTCACGTTCCCAAAGGGCGTGGCATTAGTGTTGATGACTATCATATTCATGCTCTCGACCTTACTCACTAACTTGACGAGAATGCCCTTATGTCTTTCGCAATGCACCCTGAGAAGAACGAGGTTTTCGTACAACCGAGCTTCGATCTCGGGCAATTGTTGTTCATCAACAATTAGGCTCTGCTCGTCCTCTAATATAATCACAGATTTCTTGACGAGCACGACTGATTCCATGGCTTGCTTTTCGGCTTTTGCCTCAAGGTCTTCAACTGTCTCCTTTAGCTGTTTCAGATACTTGATGGCGTCCTCGAGGACTGAGCTTTTATCCATCTTGGATTTAACGTAAAAATCAATGTGAGAAAGAGAAACTAATTAAATCGATGAAATTTTAGAGGAGTGATTACTATGTATACTATTCTATATCGGGATTGGGTATTTTTTAAATTTTTGATTTGTTTTATAATTATTTTAACCAGCATGAGACCATCGAGCGTATTTCTTTATTGTAGAGTAGTGTATATATAATCACTCCTCTCAATATAAAACAAATACGTAATGGATGACGCTTCATGCATGTAATATAAATACGTAATGGATATCTATAGAAGGGAAAAGGGCAAAAGACATATAAGATTAACTTTTTAATTTATTTTTGTGAATTTAACATTGAATCTTATATAAGGACATATTTTAATTTTCTACATATTTTTTATTTTTTTTTATAATTTATCAATTATTTATTTACTGTTTATCTAATTTTTTTGCATATTATATCTTATTAGTTGTTTATTCTTTATTTTCAAATAGACATCTATATTGGTTAAAAAGTTTTAAAAAAATAATATTTTTCTAAAAATTAATATTTTTTGTTACCCTAACATTAAAACTTATTTCTCAATTTACTAAATGGCGATAAATTAACAATTTATTTATAAAATTTACGTATAGAAACTTTCATTATTACAGACTACCTATTTTTATTTTTTTTTACATTTTATCTACATAATTATGATGAATTATTATAAATAAGTTAGAGAATTACTGATTTAATTTTCCAACAAAAAATCCATGTCTTAGTTAACATAAGCGGGTATTCGTTTGAGATTTCTAAAATTTTATTTAAGATTTTAAAAATTTTAGTATATTTAACTTGCATTAAGACTTCTTATGAATTTTAAAAATCTCGAGGTATTAAATTGAAATTTGAAGAAATCTTACAAAATATGATGTATCTTACTTATTTAAGACTAATTTTTTAAAATTCATTGACATTTAAAAAGAAAATTCTATATATGAAATCTTACTCAAAATATCACCTTGAGACTTAAAATTTCATAAGATTTTTCTAACTTTAAAAATTTTACAAGGTCTCAAAATATTAAAAAGTTTCAAAATATAGTGGCGAGAAAAACTGATGACTTGTGGCATGGGCGGAATTAAACAGGGGCATGTAGCTCTGTGCAATTTTTAAAAATATTATGTATATATATACACATAATTATACTTTTAGATATTTATTTTATGTACCATAATTTTATTATAATAAGATAAGAATATAGTTTAAAAGTTAAATATCATAATTTTAATTATATATGATAGTTGAAGATCAATCATTCCGACTAAATACGTTAACATGTTTATATTTAACACAAATTCTCATATTTATATTTAACACAAATTCTCAGTTTAACAGTTACGTTAATTGATTTTCTATACTTTTCAAACAAAAATGTATATTTATGACATTTCTAATAAAGATATGTATATTTGTTAAACAGTAGGTCGACATAACGTAGTGTCTAACACAAGACCAACCCTGTATTTAAATATTTAAACTTTTCGTAACTCCACCTTCTATCACATTGTTAAAAAATAAATAAATTAAAAGATAAAAACATATTATTATTATTATTTAAATAAAAAAATTAAATTGTGCCCCTCGTGTTTGTGAGGCCTGCGTTCGCCCCTGACTTGTGGGGATTATAAAACTTCCTGAACGTCCTCAATATTTTTTTCATTATATATTTTTTCCCTCATTCAAATGGTTAAAAGGAATGGGAATGAAAAAATTGTTCAAAACTATCGTCAAGGTTTATGAAAATATTACAAAATTGCTAAAATATCCCAAAAAAAAAAGGAAGGAACGTTTTTTCTTTCAATAATTTGCGGTGTTTTCTGACGTGGACGAGTATAGAGGGTTATGAGCTCAGTGAGTCGGTCAACCTCAGTCCAAGTATGGTGGGTCATTTGGATAGAAAAACAAGGGACACAGTCAAATAAGACCAATACCCCATCCACCCAGATGATGGAAACAAGATCGCACGTGCCTTCTTGGAAAAACGAGATAGTCGGTGTCATTAGTTCGTGATTTATTTTCACCTTATTTATTATTGTTCCTATTTTTATACTATTTAGTTTGGTAGGTCAACTTTTATTTATTTTACCTATTCCTTTCTTATTCGGTAAGTTAGTTATTTTGAACTTTTGGAACTCTATATATTTATGATCTTTTGGATTGATCGATCGACCAGTTTGAGAATAATACAAAAATCTTGAGATTTATCTCTTGTAGTTTCTTTTCGTACACGCTGGCTGCATTAGTTATATTCAAAGACCAGAACGATCAATGATGCAGATGAGAGACGTAATGCTGCTATCGACGCACTGATGCACCGATGCGAGACGGCTAACCGTCACATGGCGGATCTGACCTCGTGTATCGAGGATCTCACCCTGACTTTTGTTTATTGTATTTTTGTGCTGATTTTCATGTGTTTTATGTGCTTTAGTTTAGTGTTTTTAGGTTTGTTTTAGTGTCGACCGATCCATTTTATCGTTTTTCGTGCATTTTTATTCTCGTATAGTGTTTTTGTGGTTCGGCGTACTTTTCTTGTCTTTTTGGTGTTGACTAGGTCCAAATTGTTCGTGTTTGGGAAGACGAGCCATTTCTGAGCATATATATTAAGTATCGATTTGAGCATTCCATGACGAAGAGAAAAAGATTTGAGGAGCGTGGGTCAAAGTTTCGAGTCAATCGGAGAAGCGTGCGAGAAATTAGAGCGAATCGAGTATCAAGTCTGCCCGTGCCTCCCCGTGCCCGCATCAGTGCCACTCGTGCCCGCGACCAGTGGAAATACCCGCGACCTCGAGAGTGTTTTACTAAATGTGCGTGTTTTTAGTATGTGTTTGTGGTGTAGCTATAAATAGACTTTGTGCTTTGTAATTTTAAGAACAACCCTCATTTCCCAACTTTTAAGTTGGGAATTCTCTCCATTTTCTCTCTTCTCTCTCCTCTTTTCTTTTTTTTTATGTTTTGGTTGAGAGCTTATGAATCAAGTTTTCCGGCGAATTTCCGGCGACATTGTTTCGAGTAAAGTTTCGAGCTTTTGACTCCGTTTCTCTTTGCAAGTGCGTGTAAGAGTGGGTACTTAGTCTTAAGCCCCATTACTTCGTATATCTTTTTTTTGCTTTTGTGAAAATTGATATTGTGCTTGTATTGCTTGGAGGAAAAGATTGAATCTTTGGATCGAGAATGCTTGACTAAGTGTGATTAGGAGTTAAATGCTTGCTCGTTTTGTGCTAGAGTTTGATTTAGTTTCCTAGGCTTTTAGCTAGCATGGCAATGTTCGGTTATTTGTGTGTGTTTGATCATAGAGACTCCGGTGAACCAAAATCCCTCTTTCCCCCTTGATTTCTCTCATGTTCTTGCGTGCTTAGTTAATTGTTTTCAATTGCTCTCATTTCATAGATTAATTTAGCTTAAATTCAAACCCACAAATTGCGAGTAGAATGTTTAGGACCTTTTTGGTTGTGTGACTTTGACGACTAGGTAGTGAACGAAGCTCCGAACAGCCTTCCTTTGAGAACGACCCGAGTCGGGTAGCTCGGTTACCACATGCCCAAAAACACTACAAAACAAATGGCGCCGTTGTCGGGGAAGGTGAGTAGGACGCCAAGTTTGCTATCTAGTTGTCGTTTGTTTCCGTGTTTCTCTTGCTTTTTGTGGATTTTTCTTGATTTTGCGTGTTTCTCTTGATTATTTGCTTATTTTCTATTTCTCTTGCTTTTTGCTATGTGTGTTCTTGTACATATTGTGTCGTTTTAGTTTTATTTTTGTGTTTTTTGTTTCTTGGTCTCGTGTGCCTTGGTTGTTTTGCTTTTCTTGTGCGAGGTACTTCGCTAGACGAGCTCCGATGGATCCATACGGCTATGCTTATGCTGGTAGCTTGTCTCGTGGATGTCCCGACAACTACCAAGAGGAGATGTACCCGTATGGAGGGCCGCCCTATCCGTATCCGAGCCATTTTTACCCACCATCTCAAGTTGATTTTGATTATTACTCTCCGGGTCACGACGAGACACCTCACTACTATCCACCGCCTTCCAATTATTGTGATGCCACACTTCCACCCGAGCCGACTCGGGAAGCTTCTGCAAGCCGTTTAGACGAGATTATGGAGCATTTGGAGAAGTGCAATCAATCTCTTCGCGCTTCAATGGCTCCCATATACGAAAAAGAAGAAACCGAGTCCATTGCTCCATCCTCTACATCGTATGAGCACCTATCGGTTGGCCAACCTTGTACATTGGGTTCCGAAGCTTCAATTCCAACAATGGTTGAGCCTACCGAACGACACCGAGATGTTTTGACGAGCACTCAAGAGGCACTTGCGAGCCTCATGTCGATTATTGAGGAGTTTCATAGTTGGAAGAGCATTCCCATTCCATCCGTTCTACAAACCACACTCACGAAGTTCGACTCTACCGTTGACTCTTTTCTTGATTTGGATGCCTCTCACATTTCGCTCGGTAGGTATTGTTCTCTATCGGCGAGGATTATTCGGGAGAGTACTCGGTTAGAGGGAGAATTTTGAGCTATGGTGGATAGGTTTGCCTCCTTGAAAGAGATGGGCCTCACTCTCGTTTATGACGGTACGCAACCTCTCGACACGAGTGAGGACATCGACGATTTGGTTGCCAAAGAAATCTCCTCTCTTGACGATTCGGCCGTGCATTCTACATTAGGTACGTCAACCTTTACTTCCGGTAATTGTGCTTTGAGTTCGATTTCTATT